TATATATATATATATATATATATATATATATATATATATATATATATATATATATATATATATATATATATATATATATATATATATATATATATATATATATGCACACTTCTTGTTTCCTGTAAGTGAGCATTACGTCAGCATTTTCTTGCTTAGTCTGTCTTGTTTTGATCTTTGTATGTCTCATTGTGTTTGTTTGTTTTTGCCACCTGCTTCAAGCATTCATCTATTTACGTATATCAACCACTCTCTGATGACCTACATGCTTCTGTTTGGAACTTTTCTGCCTGATTTTTCTAAATAAAGCAGCATCTGGATCCTCCCCTCTGTTGCCACCCCACTCCTTACACATATTAAAAGTCGGAAGTGGTAAATTGTGGCAAAAAAGAACGAAAAACCAACTCTGCCTCATTGTGAGTTTAGTGTCTGACAGAAGAAAAAAACTCATAAAGGTTTAGATCTGCTCAAGTGTGAGTAAATAGTGAGTAAATTTCATATTTGGGTCAACCACAAACTATGCCCCTGCGTCAGCATCACTCATATATATGTTTATAGATTGATTCCCTGATAGACATGGTTTTCAAATGTTCTAACGTTTGAGCTCAGTGAAGTGATGTGTATGAGATGCTCTTCGATTCTGCTACATTTCTATACAGTATGGAATGATGATTAAACTCGATATGCTCTATATTTTAGTGAAGGCCAATGTATTGTTGTAGATCATCACAAATAAATCAATGAACGGGAAACACTGCATTTCAAATCAGTCATTTGTAAGCATCAAACTCAACATTAACTTTTTTGTTTACCAGCCACTGTGGTGGGCTAGTAGTTTTCTAAAGTTGCTAGCCACTCTGCATTTTTACCAGCCACAAATTTGTTGTTGGGGAAAATACATTTAATATGTTTGAATTTCACTTTGGAATGCTAAAGTTACGTAGTTTTAGGTAATTTTATTTGATTTAAGTCGTTTAAAACCCCTCTGATCACCCACGTTTTAATATGCATAGCATACCGGCTAGTACTACCTGACAAAAAAGTCTTGTTGTCGATCCCAGTTGAGTAACAAATAATAACTCGACTTCTAGTTGATCATTTGGGAAAGTGGCAGAAGGTAGATTTTTCCAGTCATCAGACATGAACATTATTGAGCATATTTGGGGTAAGGTTAAGGAGGAAGCATTAAAGATGAATCCAAAGAATCTTGATGAACTCTGGGAGTCCCGCAAGAACACTTTCTTTGCCATTCCAGATGACTTTATTAATAAGTGATTTGAGTCATTGCAGAGATGTAAGGATGCATGGCAGTCCTCCAAGCTCATTGGAGTCATAAACAATAGTAATAATTTTTCCACTGCACCATGACTTTTTATTCTATACTGTTCATTATTTATTTTAAGTGATGTGGTGGAAATTTATTTTATTCATCGTATATTAATTTTATACACTAATTTGTTATAAAGGTCTTTTTTTTATTCTTCCATGAATGTACTGTTTAGGTTAGACCAAGTGTGACCACTTTAACATCTGTTTATCATCAGACAAGATCTAAATAAGTACATAGTGATTTAACAAGCTACATGTTTGATTTAGAGGTAAGACTGAAATGTACACTCTCAGAAAAAAAGGTACACGGTGGTACAAATAATGTTCCTTGAGGGCCAGTTTTGTACCTTTGTAAAAGTTTGACCTTATATGGTACAGAAAAGACCGCTTATGATACTGTTCTGTACCTTTTATGGTACAATTTAAATGAAGGTACATAATTGCTCTCATAAAAAGGTACACTCTCAGAAATAAAGGTACAGGAGCTGTCACTGGGGTGGTACCTTTTCAAACGGTACATATTTGTACCTGAAGGGTCCATAATGGTACTTCAGAGGTACTTTTTAGGTACATTTGGATACTTATATGTATCATTTAAAAAGGTACTGACCCAGAGACAGCTCCTGTACCTTTATTTCTGAGAGTGTACATAAGTGTTGGACAACTCCTTCTTTGTTACAAAATCTATGAAAATAAATATTACTGGAAAGGCAAAGTGATTTATGAATAATTTCCATATTAAAACATGAATCATCATTTAAAAGCATATGTTTAAAGAAACTCATAAACAATAATTATTAAGTTCTATAATGCAATAATGCAAAACAACTGGTAAAACATTTGTATCTTTGATGAAGGTACATTTTGGTTTCCCATGGTATAAATCATGTTCTTAAAGGTACAAACTGCAATGGTACAAATTTGTTTCTTTGTCTTAAGGTACAATTCTGTTCCATAAAAAGGTACTGCCCCAGTGACAAGGGTTTGTACCTTCTTTGGTACAACATTGTACCATTTTTTCTGAGAGTGTAGATGGTCAAAAATGAAGTTTGATGTAACTGGGATTCACCCTGTAAGTCACTGATGACCTTGTGGGTATTACAAACTAGATAAAAAGAAAACGCACACTGTTTCTGCGTCTCACCCTGCAGAAACTGTCGTTGCTGTATGATTGTGTGACTTTCTTTGCAAATAATAGAACTTTAAAAGACACATTGGGTAAGAATGTCTTCTTGACCTCTGAGAGAGCCTCCTTAAAGAAAATTGCCTCTACAGTGACAAGACTTTTGTCTAAGCAAAGTCAGACCTTACTGTCCTAATTAAATAATTAAAAATCTAGGCATGATCATGTTTTTTTGGTAAAAAAAGCATAATCTAGAGGCCTTTGTCTTTCATATAAGCCACTTCTGATACCAAATGATCAACTAGAAGTTAAGTTACTATCTTTTGTTCCTAAAACTTGGAAGACTTTTGTCAGGTAGTGCACAGTAGTCAACATTTAAAGTGGATCAAAACCTTTCATCAAAGTTGACGTCAAATCATATAAAAAGAGTAATGTCTAATGAACACGAAAAAAATTGTACACTGCAAAGATGCTTTAAACATATATATATATATATATATATATATAATTTAAACTATTAGCTTTTTATTTTTATCTTATTTTTAGCATCATCATGATTTTACCTAAACATTTAGCCTTTTTAATTTAAAGGAAACAAAATGTATGAAGTTAAAACAAACATATAAGTTAAAACTGAACACAGTCAAGCTGCTCAAACTGTGTATTGAACACGTTTTATTATTTATTGACTTTAAGTAGACTATATTTACTTCATTATGTTATATAATAAAAAGTACAATAAATATTAGATAAAACTTTTACTTGAGCAAAATTCTAAATGAACTTTTATCAAAGTCATTTCCAGTAAGACATCTGTACTTTTACTTTCAAATGATTTATACAGTACACTAGCTGAACTGATGCTATCTCAGAAAACTGAATACACACACACACACACACACACACACACACACACATCACACACACACACACCTACAAACCGGATGTTTTCGGTCTTGATTGACATCATTCATTGTATGTGGTTCATTTGATTATTATTTCCTGCTTCTGTTGTTTTCCACCATGCAAAAATACAGTTTGCATATTTCAGAAATGACTCAATGGGATGAAATACAAAACTTGAACGTACATTTGTAAATTTGGTATTCAAATTAATGTTTCAATATAAAATTGCAGTATGGCATCATCTTTTATTAATGTTACGGTTAACAGTTTTATTTAAGGTAACATAGTTACACATGTTCCATGCACTTACTATAGTATTTAAAATAAATTATGCATAATTACAAGTAATTAACCCTTAACCGGTGGGTAGCACAATCGCCTGTCAGCAAGAAGGTCACTGGTTCGAGTCATGGCTGGGCCAGTTGGCATTTCTGTGTAGAGTTTGCATGTTCTACCCGTGTTTGCGTGGATTTCCTCCGGGTGTTTCCGGGTGATTTCCTCAGTTTCCCCCACAGTCCAAAGACATGTTACAGGTGAATTGGGTAGGCTAACTTGTCCGAAGTGTATGTGTAAATGAGTGTGTATGGATGTTTTCCAATCAAGGGTTGCAGCTGTAAGGGTATCTGCTGAGTAAAACTTATGCTGGATAAGTTGGCGGTTCATTCCGCTGTGGCGACCCCAGATTATTAAAGGGATTCAGCCGAAAAGAAAATGAATGAATGAATGAATGAATGAATGAATGAATGATTGACTAACCCTGAACCAAAGCCACATTCTAACCCCAACCATATAGTAGGTACATGTAATCTGTGTCGATTACAACAGACATCACATGTCAGCCCATGTTTTTTGTGGTTCCTGAGAATTTCATCTAATTTAAAGCCTGCAGTCCATGAGAGTGTACGATTGTCATAGAATCAAATGGTGGTAAGGCTCGGTATGTTGTAATTTAAAAAAAAAAAAAAAACACTATATGAAAAGCAGCAAGGCATCACTTCCCTCCAGACACAAACATAAGCCACATTTACTATATTTTTATTCTGATTTATTGATATGTTTGCTAATATTTAATAGATTATATGTAAAAAAGAGAGATTGCACTTACTTTATTTCAAGATTATTTCCAACACATTTCTAAACATAATAGTTTTAATAACTCAATTCTAATAACTGATTTATTTTATCTTTGCTATGATGACAGTAAATAATATTTGACTAAATATTTTTAAGGCAGTTCTATACAACTTAAAGTGACATTTAAAGGCTTAACTAGGTTGATTAGGTTAACTAGGCAGGTTAGGGTAATTAGGCAAGTTATTATATTATGATGGTTGAAAAATGTAAAACTGCTTTTATTCTAGTCGAAATAAAACAAATTAGACTTTCTCCAGAAGAAGAAATATTATCAGAAATACTGTGAAAATTTCCTTGCTCTGCTAAACATCATTTGAGAAATATTTAAAAAAGAAAAAATTCAAAGGGGGGCTAATAATTCTGACTTCAACTGTATGTATAAACAATATCAATGTACTAATTCATTACTGAAACAATTTGATATGCAGAATATACAGATTTTGAAGTTCTTGAGCATACAGCAGATGGAAATATGGGGGGAGTGGGAGGTCGCTTTGATCTTGAGAGTCTCATGACCCGATCTAATCCTGAGTAGAGTATTACATCATTACTATCCTGAGTATTACAACAACTCTCAGATGAGTTTTGAAGAATGAAATAATCCTGGATTATGTCATATAATAATAATAATAATAATAATAATAATAATAATAATATTAATTCCTTACATTTATATAGTGCTTTTTTCTGGACACTCAAAGCAGTTTTCACAGTTGGGGGAATCTCTTCATCCACCCAGAGTGTGCACCTGGATGATGGGAAAGCAGCCACATTGCACCAGACCACACACCACACACCAGTTTATTGGTGGAGAGGAGACAGTAGCCCCTTTCACACAGTGATACCGGTAAATATCCGGAAAATTTCCGGAACGACTTTACCGGTATATTCAAAAAAGCGGTGTTCACACAGGCGAGGACGTTACGGAAATTTTCCGGAAAAGAGCATTCACACATCCATCCCAAAATACCGGTAAATTCTGACATCATTCACCACAGATGAGCTTTAAACGGCTGCGCTTGTATTTGTAAACATTTGACTAAATTACAAACTCTGTGGATGATCAATATTGTGAACAACTTTCGCAGGATCACTTTCGCATGTCGAGATGTTCATAATATGTGCGTGTGCAGGCGCTCACAGGCTGTTTCACAGGCACACGCAAAGCTTGAAGGTAAACAAACAACGGCTTATCATAAGCATCTCATCGATGATTATTTACACAGTTGGCATTAAGAAAAACATATAAACGTGATCTGACTAACTTCTAGCAGCTAAATGTGTCTGGAAAAATATTCAAAGGCTTTTATTCTCACAAACCGTGTGGACGTAAATGCGCCTGACTGTTGTGATTGGCTAAAGCAGACGTCTCACGTCAGCATGTTCTAGACGTGCACGCGCTTATAACGGCAATCTTCCTTCTGCATTCACACAGCGCAGCATTCCGGCAAATTGCCGGTAATGTTACAACTTCTCTTTCCGGAAAATAGCCAGAACGAATTCACCGGTATTTTCGAAAAGGACCTGTTCACACATACAACCTTTCCGGAAAATTGCCGGCAATTTTCCGGAAAGGTCTGTATGTGTGAAAGGGGCTAGTGACAAAGCCAATTATGATATTGGGATGGTTAGGATGCCATGATGGACAGTGGGAAAATTTGGCCAGGATGCCAGAGTTAAACCCCTACTCTTTTTCGAAAGACATCCTAGGATTTTTAATGACCACAGAGAGTCAGGACCTCAGTTTAACGTCTCATCCTAAAGACAGTATAGAGTCCCCTTCACTATACTGGGGCATTAGGACCACTGCTGGTCTCACTAACAGCAACCCGGCTTTCCCATGTGATCTCCCATCCAGGTGCTGACCGGGCGCAGCCCTGCTTAGCTTCAGTGGGCGACCATGTGAAAATTGCAGAGAGCTAGCTGCCGGCGATTCAATAACTAAATCCAGCTAATTGATTAATCCACGTATGAAGAAAAGACCCCTGTTTTAACATTACACACTTTTACTTTATTTCTTACTATATTTATCTATTTCTTTTTTAAAAGACTAAATACATGTAAATTTGCTTGGCCAAGAATCAGCAATTTAAATTGGCTAAAAAAATTGAGGTAAAGGCGCATCCCTGGTTAAAATGGATACATTTTTACCTTATTTGTGCTATTGTCATTTTATGGATTTAAAGTCTACAGTACATTGTGTGAGAGTCTCGGTTAGTATCTTGTGGCACCCACCTTGCATTGAGTTGAAGATGCAGAATAGGTAGAGTATAGGGTAGATGGTATGTCCAGAGGTGAAGAAGGCCAAACCCCATGTCGTACCCAGCAGACACATGAGCCCCAGCACTGTGCCGGCATCCTTCCAGACTGGCATCTTTTCATACTTTCTACTTGTACGATGTAGCTTTAAGATCTGTCTAGACACTGTGATCAGGATTCCTAAGTTGAACAGGAATACGATACTGAAGTAGGAAAGGGTCACGCCGTACAGGATGATGTTCTCTTTGATCCAGCAGCTGAATGAAAGAAAGATTTGCATTGTAAGTAAATTGTACTGTTGACATGGGTTAATTGGGTCGGCTAAATTGTCAGTAGTGTATGAGTGTGTGTGTGGATGTTTTACAGAGATGGGTTGTGGCTGGAAGGGCATCCGCTGCGTTAAAACTTGCTGGATAAGTTGACGGTTCATTCCACTGTGGCGACTCCGAATTAATAAAGGGACTAAGCGGACAAGAAAATGAATGAATGTGTATGAGTGTGTGTGTGAATATGTGCATATGGTTGTTTCTCAGCACTAGGTTGCACCTGGAAGGCCATAAAAAAAAACATAAAAACATGTTTAAACATATGCTGGCATAGTTGGTGGTTCATTCCATTGAGGCGACCTCTGAAACATAGACTAAGCCAAATTAAGCCAAAGCAAAATGAATGAGTAAATGAAATTCATGAGTGAGTGGTTATACTTTAGCGTATTACATTTTCAAGAGTTCACACTTAGATATTGCTTGACGCTCTTAGCAGGTTTGACATGTTGTCCCAGAGCTCAGAGATAATTGAGCCCAGGGCTTCCGCCTGGTCTTTTAATATATAAGGGGGTTTGAGATCAGGTAGGTGGCGAGAATTCCCTCTAGTAAAGAAGGAAAAGGAGGAGATGGGGTGGAAGGGGAGATTCTTCCAAATCGAAGATACGACAGTAGGTTAAAAGTAGGTTAAAATTGGTCTGTTTACAGTCCATCCGGAAAATATTCGTAAATTATTTATACTCTGAGTGACATTAGCTGTGAAGTAATGTGAATAATGTAATGTGAAGACTTACATTGAATTGGTCCGATCAGTGTCTGTTAATGTCATCTCATGGGTGCCATAAAAGGGTCTGATGTTATGAACTGACAGCAAGCCTCCAACAACAACAGCAGGGACTCCTGTCAATGATAAATTATTCCAAGATAAATCACCACATTTCAAGGTTCGAATTTGATAGTTTTGTATTATAATTATTTTTTAAATCATATTTTCAATGGACCATTTTCACAAGACTTTTATGACATGTTTAACGGTCAACGTAATCTTAAACCCTTAAGTTTTTAATATTTAGATTAAAGAAAATGCATTTGCAGTTTATGTATTTACGTATGTATTGTATCATCTTTTGTGTGTTTTCTTGTTGTGTTTCTAATGCAGTGCCAATGGGGCAGGCCAGCAAATTTGACATTATCCTCTCTTCTGGCTGCCGTTATTAGTCTCACACGATTTTTTTCCTTTATCTGAAAGTCTTGGTAACACCATCGTGAAGTTTTTCTTTTAATATTTCAGCAAATAGGATTGTCAAAAAATTATTAGTTGTACTCTCTCAGTCCCTGCACTCTATGTTTAGAGGAAAAATTGGCTGAGCAAAGAGAAATTGGCTGAGCAAACTTTTAGTACACTAACTACCTGGAGTTACTGAAAGAAGATTGACAGAAACTGCCCCAAAACATGTGTGCCAAGCTTGTCATTTTGCAGTATTGTCTTGATGAATTTAATCTAGTTTGGAATAAGGCTGTAACTGTCAGGATTCTGCCACTCCAGTCTTGTTAATTCTTGTTTTGGTGGCACAGTCCACACAATAGTCCTGTCTAGTTCCCTTATTGGTTACATGTTCTAGTCCTGTCTTTTTTTTTATAATTATTTTTAGGGGTTTTCAACTTTATTATTGTGATAGGACAGTGGAGATTTATAGACAGAAAAGTATAGGGAGCAAAGATAGGAGAAGGGTCGGCAAAGGACCTCGAGCCGGGAATCGAACTCGGGTCGCCGTGAGCACCTGGGTGCTATGTGTTGACGAACTAACTACTAGGCTAATGGTGCTGACTAGTCCAGTCTTTAAGGGTGCTTTCACACTAGCACTTTTGGTCCGCACCCGGATTCGTTTAACGTCATAGTACGGTACGTTTAGCTAGTGTGAACGTGTCTTCTGAACTCGGGTGCGCACCCGTGAACCGTACCCGAGTCCGCCTGAAAGAAGTGGTCTGGGGTACGATTCATGCGAACTCTGGTACGGTTCACTTCTGATGTGAATGCAATCGCACAAAATCACGAAAGTGAACCGCCAACTGTACAACAAACTATCGTTTTCATAACGTTCGTTCATGTGTGTGTGTGTCTGTGTGTGTGTGTGTTATGTTTTGTACCTTGGTGACACACACGGGACTGAGCCAGGGCAAACACAGTGATACATAGTGATGTCTACTTGTCTCCTCCAAAAACAGCTTCTGCAGACACTGTGTGATGTTCTGAATGTTTATAACATTTTTGCGGCAGATGGATGCGAGTCGCTTTCTGTATGTCCAAAACCAAAGGTTCAGTTAAAGCGATGTGCGGACATATTTCCATTTCGGCGCTTGCTTTCGTTGCCGTCACCTAGCGACGGCCATAAACAAAACAGCAGCTCGATAACGCAAGTGCACTGGGGTTAAGAAGGAAAAAAGACAGTATGAACACAACCCAACAGAGGAGGTGGCAGACGGAGACAATCAAACTTGGGTACGGTCCAGGCAAATGAACCAAGTGTGAAAGCACCCTAAGTGAGCACTATAGCTTGTGTTGTGTTTTTTTTTATCATGTGCTCTCCTGTCTTTCATCTTGTCCCACCCACCTTGTTATACTATTATTTAGCGTTATGTTCACCTGCCTGCTTGTCAGTTCATTAGTTTGCTTTCCCTATTTATTCTCTCAGTGTGCTCTGTCCTGTGCTGGTCCGTCGTCATCCTTTACACATGTGGTGCACTGTAATTCCATGCTGAGCCACATTGAATTAAGTCAAGTCAAGTCAAGTCAAGTCTGTATTTTCTTCTGTTTTCCCCCACAAGATTTTTTAAAGTAAAGTTTACATCGGATACACAGCCGGCCGGAAGTGTGATATGCACATCAATATAGCAACATTTTTTTATGACATCATATAACAATAATGAAGATTTTTACACTACTGTGACGATTGGGTTTAGGGTTAAGGTAGGGTAGGCGTTAAAAAATACAATTTATTGGGTACTTTTAATAGATAGCATAAATAATACTTGGTACAACTACTGTTTTTACGTTTAGGGTTTAGGGTTGGGGTGGAGGTAGGCATTAATAAAATACAATAAATGGGACATTTTAAAAATAATGTAAATAATTCTCGTTAACTTCTGGGTTGTTTTTTGTGCCTTTATGTAATAAAAGGTCCTTGTAAAATGTAAAAAAGTGAAGTGCTCTGAATACTTTGCAGATGCACTATAATGAATAAATATAGCTCTGCTGTAACCACTGCATGTGCAGAACGCTCACGGTCACACTAGAGTATGAGCATGCGTTGCTCTGTCTTACAGCACTGTGTAAAGGGGCAGGACAAAACAAGATGGTCAGACGTTGATGAAGCAAGCGATTGCTCCATATGTTACATTTCTGAACAGAGAGGTCACATTTTTATCTTCTATTGCTACCACGCAATCGTGATGCGATTTCGCAGGTCAAAGTACACCAAACTTTCGAATGCAGCAATATCCAAAACTTTTTCGCATATGTGATGTGCTTGCGTTTCCGTTCTGCCATGTTTGTAAGCATATGAATGGAAGTCCTAGCACCCTCCTATCTCTGCAACATGCTTGTCCCCTACACCCCAACTCGCTCTTTACGGTCTGCTGACTCTGGCCTTTTTGCTGTCCCTCGGTACCGCCTCCCTTCAATGGGGGGCAGATCATTTAGTGTTATTGCACCCAAACTCTGGAACTCTCTACCACGCTCACTCCGCTCTGCTAATAATATCTCTGAATTCAAATCCTTACTCAAGACTCGCTTATTTTCTGAATGCTTCGCTTCTGATCTGCCAAACTGACCACTTAATCTGATCCACCATTACTCTGCTCATATGTCTCATAGGTCTTGTTTGTGTGATTCCAGTTTGTTAAATTTGACCTCATGTATGTTTGTTTATCTTTTTGTTGCATTCCTTGTAAAGTGTCCTTGAGCTCTGGAAAGGCGCTATATAAATAAAAATTATTATTATTATTATTATTAAGTCTACTGGAAGCCTGTTGTGTGACTGCAGCTTAAGGAAATGGCAGCTCCTTACAGCCGCGGCTGATTATAATAAGCTGAGTATCCTACACCTGAAGGAGAGCAAGTTAGACTTTTCACCTCAGAAGCTGAAGAGACATCTTCTGCTGAGCTGAATACAGAGTGGTCAAGCTACTTGCACAATGTGTCCATAGACATAACGTCTCCGTTCAGGTACGCGGTCTGTGACAGTAATCAGGGCTTTTTTTTGCTGCCATTTTTTGCATAACTGCCACTGACTGACCATTTCTTACAGCAAATGCAAAACCATTATTATCGTAATATAAGTTTGCCTGTAAACATAGTCTGTGGTCAAAATGACCTTTGTTATTTGCATTGCTACTGTAAAGCCCGCTACTGGATGTCACAATGTGCCTGCTGCAAATAGTTCATCCTTTGTGTCAGTAGATCATAAATAAAATGCGGTGTCTGTCACTCCACACCCATATCTGAGATCTGTATTTTTCACTCATGACCTTTTCAAATGATCTAGTTATGAAAACAAAGAAATACATACTGGCTTTGAACAACATGTTTTTTTTTTTAAGTAAGTCAAATTAAAGTAAGTTGACTTGAAAGCCATTTATTAATGTCTACTCTTATCAAATGGGGAACAAAACTACATGGACAATTTGTTTTAGATAGGGAGAAACATATTAAGTTTCACTGTCTGTCTCAATTTTGATAATGTGAAATATCCATAGCCCAAAACTGCACAACAAACAACAGAAAGATGAAACTGTTGAAGACAGTAGCTATGTTTCCATCCACCTTTTTTATGCACATTTTGGATTATCGCATTAAAACACCCTGGATGGAAATGCCAAGATATGCATACATTTCGAAAATGTGCAACTGAGTAGTATAAAAACAGCTGAGTAGGATACACTATTTATCTGATAAGAATAAATGTGCATAAACTACAATGGAAAGGCTTTTACTGAATAAATTCCAGTATGCTTATTAAAAATGTCATGTGATTTTGTTATAAGAGATCATGTGATGGTAATAATAGCATTCATGGGCAAACCAGCAGGCCGACTGTCACTCCAGTAGTTCACTAATATTATTACTATTATATTATTGATACCTCCAGAACTATCTTAAGCATCTGTGCTCCCATAGAGCATCTCACACCTCTAAAATTCACCACGTTTACATGGCATTTTGTCTTCTGATAGGCAAGTAATTTCAAGAGTTCGCCCTTAGCTGATGATTATTTATGGAGCTTGTTTGGCATGCTGTTCTAGGAGAGAGCCCTGAACTCATGAGATCCTCGAGCCCGGGGCTCCCTCCCATTGCAGGGCGAGAGGGGAGTCCGAGTTCAGATAGGTCTTGAGAACTCTCCTGCTAGATAATGTTGGAAGTAGATTAATGCTATGAAGTGTCTATGCTGTCAATTTAGATTTGTCAATTCACTTATGTTACATGTTTTTGGTCTGTGGGAGGAAACTGGAGAGCCTGGTGAAAACCTACGCAAACATGAGGAGAACATGCAAACTCTGCACAGAAATGCCAACCTGGCCAGGAAGTGTCCGAGCCGGTGACATTCCTGCTGTGCGGCTGTGGTGCTAACCACTAGTGGTGCCCTGACAAGGAAATGGGAGGAGTAGAGGTGGAATGGGGGATTCTTCAAGACGAAGATGGCTGAAGTAAGATACTCTGGTTATTTATAGTGGTGAAGGAGTCGTCTGATTGGTAAATCAGTGTTAGCTAATGTGGACCAGATGCTATCAATCATAAGCACATGCTACTCTCGAGTTTAGTTTATAAATAAAATTCACTTATTATATAAGAAAAAGACTCACGCAGCTTCTCCTACCTCAGTAAATTACGTTTTTTTTTTTTGGGATATTTGACAGAAAAACTATCTTTATTTATACAATAAAGCCATTTGGCAACACAGCCCTCACTAGGCGTGCACATACACTCACCGGTCACTATAATAGGTACACCTATCCATCCGCTAGTTAATGCAAATTTCTAATCAGTCAATCACATGGCAGCAACTCAATGCATTTAGGCATGTAGACATGGGCTGCGTCCGATACCGCCTACTACACAGTAGGTACTGCATTTGAATTTAAACGTACTACTCGGCCTTTAGAAAAGTACGTTCTATACAGTATGAATGTGAAAAGTATGAATGGAATTCGGACGTACTACATCCGCCATTTTGTCATGGTCACGTGACCTACCTGCGTCAGTTGCGTCGCTTTACTCTCATTCATGAATTCGCTCGCGGGGCATCATGGGATAGCGCAGCATGCATGGGATGCGCACTCCGGAATCTCGCCTCAAGTAGTAAGTCATCTGGGTACTTCTCACATACTAATTTTCGAATTCTATGAATTTGGACATTCTACTCGTCTCGTATACTGATTTTAGCGTACTATATAGTAAGGAAGTATGCGGTTTCGGACGCAGCCATGGTCAAGATGATCTGCTGCAGTTCAAACCGAGCATCAGAATGAGGAAGAAAGGTAATTCAAGTGACGATGAAATGGCATGGTTGTTAGTGCCAGATGGGCTGGTCTGAGTATTTCAGAAACTCCTGATCTACTTGGATTTTACGCACTACCATCTCTAGGGTTTACAGAGAATGGTCTGAAAAAGAGAAAATATGCTGTGAGCGGCAGTTCTGTGGGCGCAAATGCCTTGCTGATGCCAGACTCGAGCTGATGGAAAGACATCTGTAACTCACATAAACACTCGTTACCCGAGGTATGCAGAAGAGCATCTCTGAACACACAACACTTCCAACCTGAAGGATAGGCTACAGCAGCAGAACACCACACTGGGTGCCACTCCTGTCAGCTAAGAACAGGAAACTGAGGCTACAATTCGCACAGGCTCACCAAAATTGGACAATAGAAGATTGGAAAAATATTGCCTGGTCTGATGAGTCTCAACTTCTGCTGTGACATTTGGATGGTAGGGTCAGAATTTAGCGTCAACAACATGAAAGCATTGGTCCATCCTGCCTTGTATCAACTGTTCAGACTGGTGGTGGTGGTGTAATGGTGTGGGGGATATTTTCTTGGCACTCTTTGGGCCCATTAGTACCAATTGACACCATAGCCTGCATGAGTATTATTGCTGACCATGTCCATCCCTTTATGACCACAGTGTACTCATCTCCTGATGGCTACTTCCCAGCAGGATAACACGTCATGTTATAAAGTGCGAATCATCTCAGACTGGTTTCTTGAACATGACAATGAGTTCACTGTGTTCAAACGGCCTCCACAGTCACCAGAGCTCAATCCAATACAGCACATTTGAGATGTGGTGGAGTAGGAGATTCACATCAGGGATGTGCAGCCAACAAATCTGCAGCAAATGCTTGATGCTATCATGTCAATATGGAGCAAAACTTCTGAGGAAAATTTTCTGTTACTCGTTGAATCTATGCAACGAAGAATAAAGGCAGTTCTGAAGGTAAAAGGAGGTCCAACCCGGTACTAGTGAGATGTACTTAACAAAGTGGCCAGTGAGTGTATTGCTTGCAATCATACTTCCTGTTTACTACTACAGTAATCATATGAGACAGCTTGACAAATCAGAAAATAAGACACAATAGTGAAATGAAACTGGAATACTACACTGAAACGGAACACTACCATTTACAAACAAAAATTGGGTCTTTAGCATATTCAAAGAGTTCAGTTTTACTGAGTCAAAGATTTTCGGACTGTGTGCACAAATGCCATTGATTTGGAGGCTGTAAAGGAGATGCAACAGCACATGGTTTTAAAAGAGAAAATTTTACAAACTTGGAAGAAAAAAATCAAAGCCTGAACCAAACAATTTGGTCTAATATCACCACTAAGAGCAAGGGTGGCTTTGCAGGCCTTACATGATTTGCATAATTTGCATATAGGCAGGTGTGGCTCTGGAAAAAAAACCCTTCAATGCTTTCTGCATATACAGTTATCAGCCCTCCTTAAGCAAGGAAATTTTATTCACAGTATTTCCTATAATTTTTATTTTTATTTTGGAGAAACATGTTTTATTTCAGCAAAAATAAAAGCAGTTTTGAATTTTTAAAAATCTATTTAAGGTCAATATTATTAACCCCCTTAATATTTTTTTTCAATTGTCTTCAGAACAAACCACACACATTATACAATGACCTAATTACCCTAACTTGCCTAATTAACCTAGTTAAGCCTTTAAATGTTACTTTAAGCTGTATAGAAGTGTCTTGAAAAATGTCTAGTCAAATATTATTTACTGTCATCATGGCAAAGATAAAATAAATCAGTTATTAGAGATGAGTTATTAAAACTATTATGTTTAGAAATGTGTTGAAAAAAATCTCTCCATGCACAGAAATTGGGGACAGAATATACAGGGGATCACAATTCTGACTTCAACAGTATATTTAGACATTTATATTGTAAACATTTGGTTGTGATGCTCACCCCATCCGATCACAGACAGCTTGATCATGTAGTGCTTGATGTAAATGTTGAAGACTCTGATGAGAAGAAGGTAGAGGTGCATGGCTTCAATGGCCATCCAGGTAAAGGAAGACAGCAGGCTGTAGTGTATAGTCACAGCTATAAACACACACAGTCCGTTCATGGACAGTGTGGCGGCCCATTCACTCAACATGAAGCTCGAGTTGAGGACAAACAGAGCAGCACTCAGAGACACGTGAATGCTGCTGGACACCTCTGCCCTCGCGTTACTGCAAGCACACACATATACCTGTATTAAAAACCAATATAGAAATCTGATCCATGGAAATATACGCAAATGACATATATGATATACAAGTTCATATTTGGATTTCACATATATAAAATACTGTATGTCATATATGCAACATATATTTCAAAATATTGCAAACATGGCCATTTACATATATATTTTTTTAACCATTGTAATTGCATTAGCTATAGATATATATGTATATGTTCATATAAAGCCATATTTGAACGCATACATAACATTATAGCATATATATGTTAATATTTTAATAGCATAATATTTGTAATTCCAATGGTTGAGAAAAAACATATGTATACAGCCATCTTGGCAGTACATATATACAATCTCAAATCAGAAAAATTTGTGTCAGTGTGGAAAACACAAACAAAAAAGAAAATAGTCATTTCTAAATTTATGAGAATTTGAGAGATTTATGAGAGATGGGCCGAGGCACACTAGTTTGCCAACAAATACGTGAGAAAATTATTGAAATGTTCAAAAACAATGTTCCTCAAAGAAAGATAGAAAGGCATTTGGATATTTCACCTTCAACAGTGCATAACATAATTAAAAGATCGAAGAAATCAGGAGGAATTTTAGTGCATCAAGGACAAGGGCGCAAGCCGTAGCTGAACAACTCTGATCCTTTAGGCGGCACTTAATCAAGAATCCTCATTCATCAATAAGCGATATCACCACATGGGCTTAAGACTACCTTGGCAAACCTTTGTCAAGTACCACAATAATATGTAGGCAGTAAAACTGCACTGTGCCAAAAGAAAGCCCTATGTTAACAGTGTCCAGAAGTGCCATTTACTTCTCTGGAATAGACCATCACACAGTGGAAACCTGTACTGTGGTCTGATGAATCAGTATTTTGGGTATTTTTGGGAGCATTGGACGCCGTTGCCCCTGACCAAAGAAGAAAAAGATCATCCAGACCACAGTGTGGTTAATTGGTCTGGATTAACCAATGGGAATTATGGACACAGGCCTAGGGACCTGTTGCGTTGTTTATAGAAGTTAAGTTATACATTGAAAATGTAACTTCATTGCTTTGTTTATAGAAGTTATACATTTAAAAAACTCTTACATATATATATTAGTTCTGCTTCAGTGAACCTGAACAAGTATATTAAAATCCATTCATTTTCACTAGTTGTGCTAGTATTTTTTTGAATTGTGCATTAAATGCTTTAAAAATAAGTTAAATCTTTGTAAAATAGAAATATATGTATTGTATATCATTTATATGCGGGCAATACATTATAGATTAATTTCATTTAAAAAATATTATATGAATCTTATTTTTTAATTCAACTATAGCAGCCAGGTAGATGGACTACAGGACATTGTGCCCAGGGTCCTTCGAATTCTTAATCCGGGCCTGCCTCCACTGGTAATATGCCAGATAAGTTACCCTGATCTGTTCCGGAACCTCGCAATTTACAAATTAAGTACTGAATACAGGTACTTGACTAGCCTGCATGCAGTCCCGACTTGTCTCCAATAGAGAATGTGTGGTGCATTTTCAATCGCAAAATGCGACAATGAAGACCCCGTACTGTTGGCAACCTTAAAACTGAGAATGAGACAAATCTACACTTGAAACACTTCATCACTTGGTGTCATCAGTCCCTAAACGTCTTTTAAGTGTTGTGAAAAGGAATGGCACCATTACAAAATGGTAAACGCTTTACTGTTCCAACTTTTTTTTTGAAATATGTTGCAAGAACCAAAATTGGCAACACAATCTCACAGCAACTCATAGCTTCATTGGCTAATTCGTATAAATTCGTACAATCTTATTTGTACAATTTAGTACGATTTGGTCATCACCCAATGATGGTTGGGTTTAGGGGTGGGTTTAGATGCCATGCCTTCTTTTTAAAATCATACGTGGTCATGCGACATGAATTCGTACGAATTAGCCACTAAACTTTCTCGTGAGATCAGGCTGAAATTGGAATACATGTTAATTAAAAACAAAACAAAAAAAAAATTCACAAATTCTAAACTTTTTCTGATTTGGGGTTGTATATATATTGCATATGTGACATAGTTTTTATATATGTGTGTCAGAAATGAGCTTGTATGTCAAGTAATTTGCATATATTGCCATATACAGTGTATTAGATTTCTATTTGAAGAGTACAGATGCAAAAGCCTCCAAATGTCATCTGAACTTTTCTTCAGATGAGTGCTTTTCTCAGATTCCCATGTGTAGGTTAAATATTTTCACTTTTATGACAAGTTTTATTCATTCTACTTCAATGTAAATAATTGGACATAAACACAGGATGTTGAGGAAAATGCAAATTGTATAAATACTATAAATGTTTTTGCATCTGAACTCTTCATATGGGAACTGGGCATATGAATTACTACTTTTGTGAATCAAGCATATGCATTTATCTGAAAACATGATGAGGAGATGATGATGTCACCTAATGAAGATGTACGAAAAGACCGTGACTGCAGAAAAAAACGCGGACAGACAGCAGCCTACATAGCTGATGTACGACAAGATTTCCCATTGGCTTTTGGAGATCTTCAAATCAACCTATTCAGAGTTAGTAAGAGGGATAAAGAAGTAGACAGTGTCAGCTGATTAATTAACACTCTTAATGAATTTATTTCATGGGTGGATGATTTGTTACTCACCAGAAGCAAAGCAAAAGGAGTTGCATGGTCACAGTAACATTCAACCTCATCATTACTAATCCTATTTGTAGAACAACCATCGGGTTTCCATGTTTTGTTGCCTATTTGACGACAGAAACATTAAAGGATGTTTGCTGTTGCTCATTTTAAATAATTCCTTATTGAAACCAATATATCTCTGCACCTTGTTCATCGTAGAACTCACAGGACAGGGTGGTGTTCTTCAAATACAGACACAAAAGAGGAAAACATCATTAGCGGGACATTTTAAGGCAATTTAAAAACAGTCAATATTGTATTTGAAGATACACTTACAGGTCTGTAAACCGTGTCATTATATCTGAACCTTATTTTAAGTAGATGTTTCAAATTTGAAAGGTCCACTCCAGGGGCTTCAATCCTTATAACTGTGGAGGTAATACTTTTATTTACAAGTTTAACCTGTAAAAGATAATGGTTTTTTTTGTTAAGCTTACTGTAAACTTGAAAACAATGCATGATGTAACAGCACCAAAAATGTCATCATCACTGAACATTAAAATGAAGGATTGTTCAAACCTTAAAATGCTCGTAGGAATCGTAGGTGACTACACCAATTTTGCTCTGGCTTTGATTTAGGAACGGGTCCACTGGGATCCATGTCAGCGCAACATCCTTATAATGTAATACCTTAAAAGAAAAAAAGAAGTCAGCTTTCCTTTTCAAAAATGAATAAATATTATATTTATTTAAACCTGCTGTAAGCCATTTATTGAAAAAAATTATTATCAGACCCTTTAATTTGTTGAGAGGAGAAACAAAAACAAAATGGAAAACAGATCAGCATAATCTCATGTATATTTGTAGCTGCTTTACATTTTGTTGAATTGTTATTCAGATTGCTTTTAGCGGCTACTTCATATGAATTGGTATGTTTTCATATGGTCAATTTAGGCCTAGGGCTGAGTTACCAAATAGGGATTATGTGTGGGGAGGAGACATATTGTTCGTTTGGCAGTCTCTATTTATGTTAAGTCCAAATAGCAACATAACTAAGGATGCATTTTTGATTACAGACTCCGCGGATCTACCAGGAGGTCTGCCAGCCTATGCCTCACCCAGCCAATGATCAAGAATGGTCTGCTGTGCTGGGTCGGTCGGCGGCAGGAGAGCAAAAATGCCAGCTAGTGGTATTGCGCTCTAGGACTATATGTCGGTGCTACTGGCCAGGATTTGAAGTAGAGGTACGTCGATACTGTCAGCAGTGTCCAGGCTGCCCACATACCTCCCCTTGACATGCCTCCGAACCACCAATGTCGCTACCTGTCATCTGAGTGCCCTTCAGCTGCACTGGTAGATATTCAGCGAGACAAGATTTGTTTTTTTTGTCCCCGTCTCCCACCTCTGTGTTCTTTCCTTTGTGTCCACAGATTTCACTGGAGGACCAAGTAGCGGAAGAACCCCGGAAATGCTGACCTGCGAAGGGCAACATGCATCCGGTACACAGATTGGCTGCTCCCTCGCCATTGGACAAGAGGTCATTCGTACCATCCTCATTATCTGGGGACTGAGAGCAGCGAGCGGATATGGGCAAGTGGTTTTAAACATTTATGATTTACCTTTTTCTGTTGAATGCAGAGAAGATAGTTTAAAGAGAACAAATACTTTGGAGGTCCTCAGGTTACAGGTTTTCAGCTTTCTTCAAAATATCTTTCTTTGTGTTAAAAGAAAGAAAGACAAACTGGTTTGGAACAAGTGAAGGGAGAGTAAATGACTGAGGTTTCATTTTTGGGTGAACTAACCCTTTAATATCAACGGAACCTTTCACTATTAACAAAAGATTATTTGAAGTGAAAAGTGGAGTGTGTATTGGGAATATTTGATAAGGCTTTAATTGTTTTTTTTTTTTTGAATACTTATGGACAACGATAAACTGAGAAAATGCTTCCAATGACGCTGTGGATGCCACAGAAATGACTTACAGCAGTTTTGACATTTTATAGAGTTATGTCATGTTATTTTTTGAGTCTTACATCTGGAACAGGAATTAGTATGAAATCGTCTGGCGTGCTTGTATTCATGGAAACCACAGTCAGAGAAAAATCCTTAGTAACGTATGTTGTGGTTTGGTTAGAATTTGTATTATTTATCAATTCATCGATGGCTTTCTTCTCAGCACTGCAGAAAGGTGAAAAATCATGAAAAGTTCCATCCCACAACAACACACATTCTGGATGAAGTAAATAAAGGCATCTTTACAAAGCAAAGCAGCACAGAAACCAAACCTGAAGCGAGATGAATATAAAAAAATGGGACCCACATATAATAAGAGGCCTTAACTAATTTGTTCTTACGTTGAAATTAATAATTTGTTATGATGTACTTTTAATACACTCTCAGAAATAAAGGTACGCGAGCTGTCATTTGGGTGGTATCATTGGGTGGTATACACATTTGTACTTAAAGGGTCCATATTGGTTCCTCAAAGTTAAATATTAGTACCTGCAAATTTTAAGAAGAACATTTTTGTGCTTTTTAGGTATTAATATGTACCCTTAAGGTATTAATATGGACCTTGTAGATACAAATTTGCACCTTTTGAAAAGGTACCACCCCAGTGGCAGCTTGCGTACCTTTATTTCTGTGAGTGTAGTGTTAAATACATGTTATACATTGTACTTATAATTTTTTTTATATACGTGCATGTAATTACATCTGTAGTTATTTGCTGTAATTACACCTTTTATTACACTGTTGACAATCCCTTACACCTTAACACACCCCTAAACCTACCATACCAACACACCCATCGCTAACCCTACTCGTATCCCATCTCAAGAGCGCCAGAAATATTCTGCAATACATGAACATACTAAGTACATTGTATTTATTTGTATCAAGTACATACACAGAAAACCCTAATAAGTTGACTGAACTAAATTAATTGAGTGAACTCATTGCCTCAATTTAGTTGAGTAATGGAGTCTCCCAAAACATGCATATTTATGTTTATTTAACTTGCCGGTTTTGTAGACTATACTTAAATTGTTCAGTTCACCAAACTTAGTACTAAGTTTGGTGAACTGAACAATTCAAGTATAGTCCTCATTTATATGCATGCATGTGTGTAATAATAAACTGTGAAAAAATGTTTAAATAATTTTTAAACAAAAAGTAAGTAGCCATTTATTCACATTATGCTGAATAATTATATCTCAGGCCATTTGTTTTCTGATTTAAAAAAAAAAAACATGCACTTAATAGGTTGCACAAATTAGAATTTTACAGTTTAGACTACATTTGTGAAAATTACCTTTTTTTGTCAAATGATTAACTAAGATTTTAAGCTCACTACACTTGAAATGTTCAATTTATACATTTTAATGGTACATAGGTTAAATTAACTCATACTTTTAATGGATATAACCAAAATGCAACATTTTAAGTTATAATCAGTCAACTTTACTGAATTGTTTAAGTAGAGACAACATTAAGGTTTACAGTGTAGTAGTTAAGGACACTTAATATAAAGTGAGACCAAAATTATTTACCCAATGTGGCATAGCATCTTTACACTGAATTCTAAGCAGACACAGACCCCATTTATGACCACCTTAAATGTGTAAAGGTGTGTAAAGGTGACTTAAAGTAATAGTTCGCTCAAAAATGAATATTTTCTCATTATTTACTCTCCCTCAAGTGTCACAAACCTTTATCAGTGGTTACAGGTTTCCATCTTCATTTGTGTTCAACAGAATAAGAAAAACAAACAGGTTTGAAACAACTAAAGAGTGAGTAAATGACAGACTTGTCATTTTTGGGGGAACTGGGTTGTTGCTAGATCAGATACAGTACGGTTGCAGCTGGAAGTTAACGAGAATTATTCATATTATTTATTAAATTTTCCATTTATTGTAATTATAATTTGTCAACCCCCACCACAACTCTAAACCCAACCGTCACAGTAATGTAAAAACAGTAGTTGTACTGAGTATTATTTATGTTATCTATTAAATTACCCAATAAAATGTATTTTTAACGCCTACCCGTGCCCTAACCCAAACCCAACGGCCACAGTAAGGTATAAACAGTAGTTGTACCGAGTATTACTTATGCTATCTATTAAAGGACACATAGGTTACCCCTTTTTTTTAATATTTATTATAAGTCTTTTGTGTCCCCTGAATGTGTCTGTAAAGTTTCAGCTCAAAACACCCATCAGAGTATGTATTATAGCTGTTTGAAATGTCTGTATTATAGCTGTGAAAAGGTTGTTGCTGTTTTTTTGCACTGGGCCTTTAAGGCGAGTCATCCCCGCCCACCGATCCCACATGCCTGTCGGCAACATGCCTCAATCGCCGCCCTCGGCTGCCTCAGGAAGCAGATCTCACGTAACATTTGTGAGAAATACTACAGTAAGAACTTTACCAATCAGTATTTGATGGATTTTTTGTGGAGTTGCAACAATGAGTTCATGCACACACAGCGCAGACACACACACACATAGCAAAGACACATAGCGCAGACACTCATGCACATAAATAGCGTAGACACGCAGGCAGACACACACACACACACACATAGCACAGACAAGTAGCGCAAACACACACACACATACATAGCATAGACACGCAGACACACACACACACACACACACACACACAAACACACACACAAACACACACACACACACACAGAGAGACAGTGAGAAAGACACGAAGCTGTGCTAATGAAGTAAATCTGAAGTGAATGGCTGCACTTCATTACACACGTGCACACGTTTAAAACATGTTAAACTTGTAAAACTCACACCTGATCATGTTTGATGATGATCCTAGCAAACTGAACAGACCTTTTATTTCCGGTTGCTTTGCGCTCGTCCTGTCTTGTCGATATGATTATATGCATTACTACGGAGACATGTTAATGCGCGCAGCTGTCAATTAATATTGGTGGGCGGAGGGACCGCACTCCTACGTAAAGTTGCGGTCGATCTGAAAACCGCTCCAATTAATCCACCGTTTTTATGTTGTTAAATTTGAAAAAACAGGACTGGGTGTGTTTATATCACCCCAATATGACAGTATATACACTATACTTACACACATGTATGTCCAAACAGCTTGAAAAGTAGATTTTTTACCATAGGTGCCCTTTAAATTACCCAATAAAATTTATTTTTTAATGCCTACCCCTACCCAACCCTAAACCCAACAGCCACAGTAAGGTAAAAACAGTAGTTGTACCTAGTATTTTATGTTATCTATTAAATTACCCAATAAAATGTATTTTTTAACGTCTAACCCTCACCCCAACCCTAAACCTAACAGCCACAGTAACATAAAACGGTAGTTGTACCGAGTATTATTTATGTTATCTATTAAATTACCCAATAAAATGTATTTTTTAACGTCTAACCCTCACCCCAACCCTAAACCCAACGGCCACAGTAACGTAAAAACAGTAGTTGTACCGAGTATTATTTATGCCATCTATTAAATTACCCAATAAATTGTATTTTTAATGTCTACCCCCACCCCAAGCCTAAACCCAACCATCACAGTACTATAAACATAATTATTATTGTCATACAGTGTCATACAAAATGCTGCTATATTGATGTGTATATCGCATATCCAGCCAGCCGTGTATCCGATCTAGACTTTACCGGGAACTGTACATTTAATTGCGTCAGATAAGGAAGGTAGAAGCCACCAGAAACAAGCTTTGAAGCACTTAACTAAAGAACTGTGCACTTTAAAATACTTAACAACAATACTTTTACCTAATGTAGGTGTCCGTCACAGTTTCGTTTAAGATCACAGCTCCACACATGTTTTTAACATTGTTAATGTTTTTCACGTCTTTCGGGAAAACCATTTGACTTTCTTTCGTTTTCAGGAGGTTACTTATTTCTTCCGGCCAACATTTAACCACAGTACAATTGGTTGTAGTGTCTGCTGTAAGATGAAAGGAAAACATGTTGTCATGAGTGAATCAAATCATTATTCTCAGTTGCACATTTGTCACAAATGCTGTTGTTTAGCTGGTTAGATGCAATGGAAGAAAAGAAGTCTTACGTATGGTGAATCTTATTGTAGTGTAGTTCTTATAGTTATCCGTCACAAATATTTGACTTTGTTGTGGGTCGGTCAAGTTTTTGTTTACAAAGTTGTTATGGGAGCACTCAGCATAACATGGGATTGTTAATGAACTGTAATTACACTGTAATTTATTTACTCCGTCCTCAATAGTAATGCGGTGTCCAGAGTTCAGTGAGATATCAATATGTATTACTGTTTGGTAATTTTGCAGTGTAACATTTCCTGGCAAACACAAATTACACAGAATTATACAGGGCAATGTAAGTTTGTGAAAAATTATTTATACTGTAGGGCAGGGGTCACCAAACTTGTTCCTGGAGGTCCGGTGTCCAGCAGATTTTAGCTCCAACCCTAATCAAACACACCTGAACAAGCTAATCAAGGTTTTAGGTATACTGAAACATCCAGGCAGGTGTGTTGAGGCAAGTTAGAACTAAACCTTGCAGGGACACCGGCCCTCCAGGACCAAGATTGATGACCCCTGCTGTAGGGGAAAGCATGGCTAACTGTCATCTCATACTGTTTCTTCCTTTTTTTCTACCAATGGTTTTGAATGTTGATTTCAGATACCTTGTTCAAATTTAGTTTTTTAAAAGAAAGTCATAACAATTCTATTCCTGATGCTAACATTACAGTGTCATAAATACACAGGTCAAATACAAAAAGACATGGTCAAGCATCAAAATAATAAAAAGTGACGTACAGTAAAATGCCCTGTTTTAACAATTGGAGTAAAAATAATAATCATTATAATATATTTTTTAATTGCTCATATTTCCAAAAATATATCAGACATACTCTGTAAAAAACGGATTTTCTTACTTAGATATTTTGTCTTGTTTCTAGTCCAAATCAAGAAGAATTTTCTAAACCAGCAAAAAATATATATTTTTAAAGAAATAATATGCTCAAATTAAGTGAGTTTTTTTAGTGTTACATATATATTTCCTTTTCTTATATTTTTTAAACTTTTATTTTGTTGTGTAAAATTGTGCTCTATAAATTGCCTTGCTTTGCTTTACCACATTGGCAGATTATTTAGCTGGTTAAGGAAAAACTCACTTAATTTTGTCATATTATTTCTGATATATTTCAATATTTTTTGCTTGTCTAGAAAATGCTTCTTTACTTACTTAGGAATTTATAGGTATTTGGACTAGAAACAAACAAACAAAAAAAAAAATCTAAGAAGAGCATTTTTTGCAGTGCATTTGAAAATCATTTGATGAAATTTAAAAAACTATTAAAAGATAAAATTGCAGCACAAAATACTAATTAATTATAGGTGTGTGTGTGTGTGTGTGTGTGTGTGTGTGTGTGTGTGTGTGTGTGTGTGTGTGTGTGTGTGTGTCTGTGTGTCTGTGTGTCTGTGTGTCTTTGTGTTTGTGTATAGTGATTTTTTTCTTTCTTTTTAAAATATTTCCCAAATGATGTTTTACAAAGCAAGGATATTTTCACAGTATGTCTGATAATATTTTTTCTTCTGGAGAAAGTCTTCAGCTAAAAATAAAGCAGTTTTAAATTTACAAAAAAAAAAAAAAAACCTTTAAAGGACAAAATTGTCAGCCCCTTTAAGCTATAATTTTTTTTCGATAGTCTACAGAACAAACCATCGTTTTACAATAACTTGCCCAATTACCATAACCTGCCTAGTTAACCTAATTAAACTAGTTAAGCCTTTAAATGTCACTTTAAGCTGTATAGAAGTGTCTTGAAAAATATCTAGTCAAATATTATTTACTGTCATCTTTAGAAATGAGAACTGTTATCTATCTATCTATCTATCTATCTATCTATCTATCTATCTATCTATCTATCTATCTATCTATCTATCTATCTATCTATCTATCTATCTATCTATCTATCTATCTATCTATCTATCTATCTATCTATCTATCTATCGATCGATCGATCGATCGATCGATCGATCGATCGATCGATGTATGTATGTATGTATGTATGTATGTATGTATGTATGTATGTATGTATGTATGTATGTATGTATGTATGTATGTATGTATGTGTGTATATATATATATATATATATATATATATATATATATATATATATTATAATAGTTATATAATTTGTTATAATTTTTACACTAGACTAAAATTTTCACAGTTTTTTTTCATACTAGAATGTATGAAAGAATTAGTGTTTATAAACTACATTTTAGTAAGTATAGTTCAAGTATTTAGTATGAAAAACTGTTTCATAAGTACATAAAACAGTGGAATATTCACAAGCCTGACGACTAGCCTCGATTTCCCCTGCTGTAAATGTAATATCAACATTTTTTCATTTCATGAAGACGTTTATGCCAGTTGGAAATCTCATCCTTGATGCTTGACAAATTCAACATAACAGACTTGTAAGTAATTTGAGTCATTTAACATAATAAAATGATTATGAGAAGGCAAGTGTTTTAATAGTTACCCATTTCAGTTTGTGTCCCAGAAATAAAACCCAGGCCAGGCATGACAAAAAATAAAAACAGTATCATCTCTTCAGCTATGTGGCAGGTAGTTTATCAGGCAAAAATACAGACATGGAAATTATAAAGCTGACCTGAAGAAAAATAAATCAAATCTGTCATACATTAGCAGCACGTTTAGTCAGTTATTAACATCTTGTCAAATGTCTTAATAAAAAGAACAATCTGCATGCAGAAAAGAAGAAATTGGTTTACTCACTGTGCTGTTTTCTGAGCTGGTTGAAGTGTTGAGAGTTCTGTATGATCGCTTTAGAATTCACACGCAGAGTTGAATATTCAACCTCACTCAAATATTGTGGTTTCTGATGTATCCAGGCACATTTCCCATCAGCAGAATACAATGTCAAGCCTTGTCAAAATGTTTTTTCACTTTTAATGACAATCATTGACATAATGCTGCTGACTGAACGGTTGTAAAAAGACTAGATCAGTCTAATGAACAGAGCTTGTCATTGGTCTGCGTTTCGGTGATGACAGAAGAGTTGTTTGTGTTGGTAGTTGTCTTACCTGGTCTTGGGTTTAGATATGCAAAGTTGTATGATCTTGTGGGGGGAAAACCCACTGTTCTACTGAGGAAGTTTCCACTGTTTATTTGTAATAATCCATGCTGGTGTTTGTTTTTTTAGATCTCATGTCAGTTAGACTGTTTGCGTTTTATAGTCTCATTACGTTAAAAAGCACATGGATTTATTTAAATTTTTTTTATCCCAAACGGTCTTTTTTCTTTTTGTAAATGCATTTTTTGTCCCACATTCAGAATTGCAGGTGAAGAATCGCAAAGATTCGGAATGTTTTTTATGTTAAATGTGTATTTAAAAAAAAAGTGTTTTCTGTTCTGCTGTACGTCTATAAGACATTTACTTGAGAAATGTTACGCTCAAAAACATTTATGTTTGCTGTTTGTTCAAGCTACTTATTTAAAATGAACTTGAACAACACAATTCTTTAGTTTTTTCACTGACAATTTATGTATTTTGTTCAATCCACTTAAATGTGTAAAAATATTGAATAAGTTAACTTAATCCCTTCATGTTGTGTAAACACAAATCGATTAAGTTAACTGTTTTTACAAATTTAAGTGAATTGAGCGTAAAACAATAAACTTGACCCTCCAAAAAAACTGAAGAATAGTTAAATAGGCAGTCTGAATAAGTAATTCGAACAAGCAGCAGAATTAATTTTTTGAGTATGTATAGATGGAGAATTAATAAAAAAATGTCTTTAAGAAGTTTACTTTTATTTGTTATCTTTTGATTATCTTTTGTTTTATTTTTCCAGCTTTCTGTTATTAATTTTTTTTTTATTAATTATTGCTTAAACTGACAATACAAAAACATGATTATGTCCAGGGGATCACAGACAGATCTTAGGGTTAATAATAAAAGGTTATTATTATTAATATAAAATTATTAATAAAAGGTTAATAATGTACATAGTCATAAGAAAAAAATATAAAATCACATTCAACTACACATTATCCCATTCGACAGAAAGTGGAAAATAATAATAGAATAATAGTATTCATGATAATAATATAATAATAAAACAAAAAATACTAAATTAAACAAACTAAATTAAACAAATCAATGAAATTACAATGACACTTAAACAAATAACCATAAGAAAAGCAACTAAAATCGAGAATCTTCTTTAAATGCATCTGCATAATATTTCAGGAATCTTAGATTTTTTTTAATTCTTAAAAAGATGAAGTGATTTTCGGAGGGAGTTAAATATCAGTTTAAAAGGAGCAAAAGATGGGTAATTATTTGTGATTTTCTATTTGTGAATGAAAAATTTGCTTTCATGGTGTTTTTTATAATCTTTTTTTTTTTCTCTGGCCACACTAAACATTATTTCCTTACCCCAAGATTTAAATAACGTGTCAAAACAAGCACAATATATATATATATATATATATATATATATATATATATATATATATATATATATATATATATATATATATATATATCTATATAGATATATAGATAGATGTGTGGGGGGGGGGAGAGAGAGAAAAAAAAAAAAAAAAA